GAGAGAGAGAGAGAGAGAGAGAGAGAGAGAGAGAGAGAGAGAGAGAGAGAGAGAGAGATGGATGTCGTCAACATCGTGCAGGAGTCGGTTGTCGACGACGAAGTGGAGATTTACGAGTGGCGATCTTCGAGAGATGGGCCCCATGACAGGGAGGTGGATTTCAGCGATGCTTTTGTCGAAGTGAAAGTGCGCTTCTATGACGTCGTCGTGAGTGGGAGGTGTGCGATGGACGTTATGGCGGCCTTGGGTCTAGATGGGCAAGGACCACTCCGCGAACTCCGGTTGTTCGCGACAAAGACAGACCCCATCATCCCCAACATGCGGGTGGGAGGCGAAATAGACGTGGTGGGGGACATGCTGCGCCATCTCATGTCTGCCATAGCCAGCGAATTCGATGGGAGGATGGATGACAGCCCTTGGTACAGGGCCATCATCAATCCACCTTTAGTTGGAAGGCCATACCTGCACGCCACGGTCCAACTGTGGTGTCCGGAGGACGATCGGCGGTTGCTGCATCATTGGTGACTTTTTTTTCCGGGGCGAGGGCAGTGGACTCGCGCTGTGAGTCGTGCACACATGGAGGTGTGAGCATCCTTCTTCCGGAGTATCCAGCGGCGGTTCATGAAGGGGAAACCTCCATACGTATGGACAGATAGACAATTCTCCTTGCTCATTCGTTCATTCGTTCGTTCATTCATTTGTGTGTGTGAGAGAGAGAGACAGAGAGAGAGAGAGAGCGCTCGTGAGAGAGAGAGAGAGAGAGAAAGAAAGAGAGTTCATTCGTTCACTCGTGAGAGAGAGAGAGAGAGAGAGAGAGAGAGAGAGAGAGAGAGAGAGAGAGAGAGAGAGAGAGAGAGAGAGTCGTGGTGTTGTCAGGAAGAGTCTTCCGAATGTTGTAGTCCCACCATTGCCCATGTTTTAGCATGTCATTTCCTACGTCATGTTTATCTTTCCATGAGCATGGAGCGCAAAACTGTGTCCAAATTGAAGTTTCACCTCGTTGTGTTGTTATCATTATTATTTTTATTTATATATATATATTTTTTTTGGTTGTCTTCCATATCTGCGAATGGAAGTTTCCCATCATCATCGGAAACACCCTCACCTTTGTTTGATCATTGCTTGAAATCGTTTGACATTTCATTGTTTTTAAATTTCGTGTTATGGTTGACATTGACAACAACGAATGTGAAAGGCATACACGATAGGATCGTTGAAAAAAAGAGATGAAGGAAAACTCAATGCATACAGTTTGTCCTTCCTCGTGAAGCAGAATGAGAAACGACGAACGAAAATTTCCTTCTACAAAAGACTATGAAAACCGATTGCAAACTTTGCTATCTGAGTTCGCCATGAACACGGGCCAAGTCATCTTTTGCACCTCCCCTCGTACGTAGGTGCGTCAATCTACCCATGAACCTACCTATCCATGTATCTATGTCTCCATATACCCGTGCCTCTCTCTCTCTCTCTCTCTCTCTCTCTCTCTCTCTCTCTCTCTCTCTCTCTCTCTCTCTCTCTCTCTCACCGTGCTCTTGCCGCGGAGAACAGTCTTCTGCCACATGTCACAACCAGGGACTTGGTTCCCGGGGCCCATGCACTCTAGCGTGATGGACGACATGGCATACCAACCTTCTCCTGAGTGCCTTGTTCAGCTCCAAGTCGTATGCCTACGCTATGTGCTCAGCCGTGGCACTCCCCTCCTGCAAGGGCGGCTCGGCTTGACGACGGTGTCGAAGCCCGTCATCTGAGTCATCGTCGTCGGAATCATCGTTGTCGCTTGCAGCCAAACCGTTCATGTCCACCTTGTGATCCAACAAGATGTTGTGTAGTATACAGCAGGCCATGAACTCCTTACAAATTGTCTTCAGATTGCTGATGTGGGTTCGTCTGAAATTCCTCCAAATCACCTTGAGGAACCCAAATAAATTCTATGCAGCTCCTAGTCGTCGTGTGCATGCCATCGAACACCACCTGTTCGGGACTGCGAGGTCTGTTGGTAGGATGCGGCGTCATTATCCATGACAACAAAAGATAACCGGCGTCACCCAGCACGTAACGGTCAATGTTGCTCCCGTCACGAAGTGTGGCTAGCTCTCCGCGTAGGATACCCACACCGTTGTCATAGTCGCTAGTGAGGATGGACAATTTGAGTGCTCGAATGTCATGGCAGGATCCGGGACAGCCGACAAAGGCATCAAGAATGCGGCACTCATGATCGCACACGACCTGCGCAATGACAGAGAATTGCCCTGTTCAATCGTAGTAGCATGCAGCATGCTCCTTCTTTGGCTTCTCTATGTATAGATGTGTGCAATCGATTGCACCCACACAGCCAGGGAAGCCCTTCCGTTCGAAGGCGTCCATGACCTCTTGCAATCGACGACCTTTTGGAAAAGCTATCACATTCGGATACTCCTGGATGATTGCATCAGCGATGCCCTTATTGCTCCGCAGGGCGTTTGAAGTCCCATGCGCAGACCATGGGCGGACTGCCTGTAAAACCCTCCCGTTGCCCACCTTATCAACGCACAAGCAAACTTTTGCCCCGCGGGCAATGGCTGTCTCCAATTCGTCGTGGTTCGATGGATACGAGGTCCGATCCACTGCGCGATGTCGTTGAAAAGCGGAGGGGGAGCCTGCAAAACCTCTTGAAGACCTTGTCCCTGCCGCTGCAGGTCCTTCCACAAACCACCACTCCTTTCCACCACCCACACTCTCCTCCTGCCCGTTCATGGCCATGGCAAACGATGCCTCTAAGCACCGTCATGGCCATGGCCGATTCATTGTCGCGCTGTGGAAAAATAACAGCCGCCTCGAGGACAGCCATGGCTGCCACATTACGCCGACTCACCCACTAGATGACAGCAACCACGAAAAACAACAGCCGGTCTTCTCACTCGTTGTCCATGTCTCCGCTCCTCCGCCCACCCCTACCTCCCTATCCTGTCT